ACATTTTGAACTCATACTATGATGTTAAGCAGCTAAAATAGAGTAAAACTTGAGATTTTGATTATCAAACACCGAACATATTTCTGATACATAATCTAAAGTATAATCGCGAATGTATTTTCCAGTTTTTGAAAAATTCTCCTCTATTCATAAACTATATTTATTCTGCACTGTTCTTAGTTTTAGATGTTGATTCAAGATAAGATTGCCAAAATTCTAAGATCAGAGTTTAACTGTAGTTATTACCGCTTGTGAATTGTTAACCTTTTTTTGATGATTATCTTCCAAGACTGTTTCCCCTATTAATGTCTACAGATTGCTATAGAGGCTCTTTTCTGTTATTATGACGTATACATATAAGATTATGTATTATGTTACTCAACATTCTGTTTCAAAGACGTCCTATGGTGATTGAGTACAATATTCGTCGTTATTTCGAACATCTCAAACTTTTATTTTGTCAGTTTTACAGAAAATAGAACATACACTTACTCACTATACAGCGGTCTCTCATATATGTACTTTGAAAATTATTTATGAACATCATAAAATAGTTTATGTATTTATCAATTAAATAATAACATGAAAAAGATTGTAATCAACTTGTAGATAGTTTGACTTGATAGGAAAACACCAAAAGAAAAGCAGATACAAATAATTATGAATATATTTTTATCAAAATTTGAAATAATCAATGAAGAGGACCAATTAACAAGAATAGTTAAACAATTTTTTGATGATGTTTACATAAGAACATCATCTTTTTGTAAAATTATAAACATATTCGTGATCAAAAGAGTAGATAAAAAAAATAAACGTATGATTAATTAACTAAAGACGAAATTTCACTAAGTGATATTTTTCCGATTTTCAATATAGGTAAATTTTTTATTCTGATCATGAATCCGGTATTCATTTGTTCCCATAGGCTCTCTTCTTGCATGTGTCCACAGAAATCGGATCTCTAGAGAAACAATGATGAATTTTCAATTGGATACATTCTGATATGACCGATTTGTAGAGTACATCGAGCTATCTCTGTAGGAAAGTTTTAGGGATTAACGGATTAGCTTTCTTAGAGTTATAAAACTTGTACTAGAATAAAAGCTGACAAGTTCAGATTTTCTATTAAATGAAGACATGAAAGTTTCAAAAAGAATAACTCGACAATAAAGTGATGAGTCACTTAGTGTGATCGTCTGATAAGTCGAACTTTGAAATTAGTTGAACTCTATCTATGGTAATATTTTGTGGGCGTCTTATTAAAGTTGAGAGAATGTGAAAAAATAGAAGTGATGTATATTTCAGCATAAAAACGAATTTGTTTGAGAATGGTACAAATTTTATAAAAAATAAAATCCTCCAGTATTATACGAATATTATTCTTTTTCATCATTATCCTAATTCTAGTGATACTGATTTATTTATCATCAGCACAATACAATAAGAAAATTAAATGTACAATGAAAATTTTTTTTATCATATAAATATGTGACGACCATACTGTGATGGAATGTGCATAATCAGACTCAGTGAGATACATAGAATATAAACTACAACGTCGTGTTTGTACTACTTCTCAACTTAGACGAAGAAAAATATATCTCCCATTGTGAATTACTCAACATTTTTATTTAATAGTCAATTAATTTTCAACTCTTTCTCATATGGACACAATATTTATTCTCTATTCTGAGTCGGCTGCGTATTTTGGTTCTACGATAGAAGACATATTATGTACTTATATCATTTATATGAGATTGCGAAATCTTCCTACCTATTTGCTATATTATCGCGTGTCACTTGCGTATATATGTCCTATTGACCTTACACTATTTAAACGTTCAATTGAATTTCGATATGCATAAAAATTGTCACATATCTTATATATGCTTTGCAGTTTCCTGTTCATAACGAATCTAGTGAATATGTAATAACATATCAATATCTCATACTGTGCAAGTATAAGACTTTTATGCGACAGGACAGTATAATAAAACCTCGTTGTGCTCCCAAACCGTTTAAGAACAATCGCGATCACCTGCGTTCCCCAAATTATTTAGTTTCACATTAATCGGTAATAAAAATCTTTGTACGTTTTTACAGTGTAACAATATCAGCAGATTATTATGAATACACATCAACTTTTTCATGTTGTACAATCGATTGACCTTTTATGGTGGAGGTAGTATTTGTGTGTAGTATGAGAAAGTAAGAAGAAAAGAACGTGGCGTAAATTCATTCATTGTATGAATTGTACAACATATCTCGTATTCATAATGAGAAGAGTTCATTAACGTAGATCCAGCTGTGTTTCATATATCTGTAACTTTTCTCATGTACTAGCTCAACCTCTAAATGTACAATATAAATAACTTGTAGGCCACAATAAGAAAAACAAAAACTCGCTTGATCAATCATATTAATAATCTGCGAATAAAAGACTGGATCATATATTATATGTAAACAGAAAGAGAAAAAGAGAGTTTGCGACTTGTTTCTTCTTCGAACATGTGTAAATAGCCAATGATTATTTAAGAGAGGAACCCTCTTGGAACACTTTATTTCTTCTATGCCATAAAACCTATTTAAACTAAACTTTCGTAGTAGCTCACCAGCTTGTAATAAAAACTAGTTATAGAATCATTCAGACGTTATAGATGATTCAAAGGACCAACTGCGGTCTGTAACAGTTTTTAAACTAGTCTTTTATAGAAGTCGGTGTGAAGATTAATTTGAATTAAAATGATCAGTGGACTCACACCTATCTTCTGCTCAAGGTGGCTTTTAAATTTCTATACCGTTTCCATCAAAGTTGCGCCTAACTTTATCCTTCCAAAAAAATTATTATGCTTGGATGAAGGGTCTAGCAGGACCTTCAGGCATCCTTTGGAAAGAAGGAAACTGAGAACAGTATCTCACATCATCCCTCTAGTTGGATACACTTCACATAAAATTGCCAGAAACATTTCAAAACATGTTTATTCGGTTTAAATGCGATAGATTTTTTCAAAGAGAATATTTTATGTTAGTTATTCATGAAAAAAACTCCTAGTCGATTTTTTAATTGAGAGCCGCTTTTCTAAGTGCACTTCTTACATTCATACATGTTCGGAAACGATCTATCATCCGCTAAGTCAGTTACAAATATCTTGTTATAACGATAAAAAGGATTGTAAAATTGCCGTCGGAAGTCGAAAGTTATTCAGAATATTATTGAACTTCCTGTCTTTAATGTTTAAGACTCGATTGGCTGAGTTGAGGCTCTGTAAACCATTCTACTAGGATTTTGTGAGCTAAAGGACAATGACGTTTAGTATTATCATCGAGGTTTCTTTTGACGTTTCTATAGCAAACGAAGCTCAATAATTGGTCACTCAATAAACATGAAAGTTGTACATATCAAATTTTTTTCAGTTGTTAACGATCTGTTTCCAATAACTTATTCAACAATTTTGTTTCGTGAGATGTGATAACGAAACTGTTGATTTCTTTTAAGTATCTTGTTTTTTTAACTGGTTCAAAATCACTCTGTTTATGTATACATATTAAATGAACCCTTTTCTATCATAAGAACAGAAAGAGAGGATAGATCAACATAACTTTTTCTTTCTTTCTATTGTTACACACACAGATGAAGTTAAGTTAATAGTATTACTTCGTTCTTTTCCATTTGCATAATCCTGTAAACAGGAAAGTTTTGAGTGTGATTGAAAAAGTTTCTTTAACAATTGTTGAATATGTGTGATTCAAGGTTTTTGAAAAGTGTAAACTAAATGATTTCTAAATTTTTGTCCTTTACTGTTTTTTCTTAATGTGTCACAAAGTGATTATCAAGTGTGCGCTTTTCGTTTTCGTACACTTTATTCTTCAAATTGACTATAAACTTCCATTCAATACGATGTCGATTTTAGAATATCTTACTAGTTGATTTTGAATTATCCATGATTGATAGAGTGCAGCTAAGTAAGTTATTGCCATTATTTTTATTATTTTATAGAACTGAGAAAAAAAAGAAGTTTTATTGCACTCAAACGACGTATCTTTATATAAAAATGAACGAATAAAGTTAGAATGTATCTCTAATAGTTACTAATGACTCGAACGGAATGCTAAGCAAACTACAAGTCAAAGTTGTTATGGAGTCATCGATTACATATTCATAGATATATGTTTAAAGAAGAAATTTATTTAAGGAAAGCAAACAAATGAAATAAGAAGAATTAATTCTTCCTTTCTTCAACAATGTTCGAATAATAGATAAATTATTTTTTACCGTTTGTGTCGTAGAAGCGTCTTCGTCGACAACAATATTGATATTTATTGAGACCTTTTTGATTTGAAAAAGTCTAATACAGCGTAATAGTTTAAATAAGACGTCTTTTAGACTAATGTTTGTCACTATTTAGATTTGTAAGAGAAGAATATTTTCAAAAAAAATTTTTTTTTCATTCTTCTCTATGTATCCGTTATCACTCATTATTGAAAATAAATATTTTGTTGTGATCTGAACGAACGAACGAAAGAGAAAGAAAGAAAGAGAGAGAGAGAGAGAGAGAAAGAGACGATAAACCATTGTAGTTACATGTATCCATATGCAGACATACAAAACTATTTCTCTTTTACAGAATCATCTACTAAAGAATATTAATTGTTTATGCAAACGTATCATTTTTATGGTGTATATCAAAAAGACATAATAATATGTGTATTTCATTAAAATCGTGTTATCAATTACTGTCAAACATATTTTAAGGTAAGATTCAATTTTGATCTATCTGATTGTTAAGCTGACAAAGTGCTAAAAGAGACGCAAATTTTACTTCGGAAAAAAAATGGAAAAAACAACAACCTGATTGTTGAAGTTAACTACTTTTTTAATGAAGACAATACCTTTGACAAAAAAGTTGCGTCTCTCTATCTCGAATTCATTTTTTTTAGTAATAAACGTATGAATCCGGATATTTCTCGTACATCGTGTCCCGGTTACCTGGACGATTATGGAACATGGAATAATGGTTGGTAAATTATCATTCATTAATTTCGATGTATTACTCTATTTTTGTATTTATTCGTAGGATTCGATTGTCCGCCTGTACAATCACAGACACGTTTTTGTTGTGGAACCGAATCAAAACGTTATTGTTGTACGCGAAAAGATGGTGATGGAGATATCATTGTTGATCATGATAATTCAAAATTATTATATATTATTTCATCAAACTCAAACGTAAATCTAGTCTCACCATCAGCATCATCATCACCGACATATCGAATTTTATCATCGCCTTCATTGACTTCATTCTCAAATATTTATTTTTCGTTACCCATTTTAATTTCCGTCCTCGTTGGAATTTTAGCCGTGATATTTATTATTTTATTCGGTCTATTGATGTGTCGTCATCGTTCACACAACAAAGAACAACAGCAAAAAAAGAAGCAACAACAAAATAAAACTCTTTTAGATACCATGAATCCACCAGTAGATCCACACACTCAATATCCATTTTCACATCATCAACATTATCTTACAATGGATGAAAATCAAAATTATGATCATAATTTACATACAAGTGATACAACAACGACGACTGCTACGTCCTCGTCATCGTCAGGACGAACAAATTCTGGATTATTAACAATGAATTTTAATGATTGGAAAGAATTTGTTGTTTCAGAATCGACACCAATGAATTTGTATCTGACAATGTCATCGAACAGTACTGACGAACCATATTCAGGTTATATGAAAAAAAATCATCAAATGATATGAAGAAAATGTGGTTAAAATCGTAAATTCAGGTAGTTTCTTATTATCAAAGTTACTCTGATTTGCCATATAAAGTGATGTAACATGTGTATTTTTTCTTCTGTTGTTTTCTTTGTTTTACATAATATGAATGATGACAGACATACAAAATTTTCTTGTTCGTATTTTTGTTGTCATTTGATATCGACAACAACAACTGATAGAAACATTATTAATCCATAAATAATTATTTTCTTGAAAAAGAAAAAAAAGAGTAATATGAAACGACAAGTTGTTTTTTTGTTTAGATGTACTATATAGAACACGATAAAACTAAGATTAAAAACTGAATTAGAAAGGTGCCTGGTTGTAATATAAAAAAAAAAATTGTTATTTAAAAATAGCGTTTGGAATTTTCTTAAGAAAACAAGTATGTTTAAAGACTAATAATAAAGATTTAAAGACTATTAATATTGCTACCTTTTACTGACAGTTGACACCAAATTAAGTAAAAGAAATTTGATAGCAAGAATTGAAGTTTATTAAAATGAAGTGCTCTTTACTTGAACGTCTGATCAAGAAAATGAAAACTATTATAATTTTCTTTTTCTTCATATCATCTCATGTTATACTATTGATCACGGTTAAAATCACTTGAAAGTAGAATCAATTTTCATTTTAATAAAAGTGGAGAGAGATGAGCTGGTGCTTTTTCTATATACATGAACAAAACGATCAAAATTAAAAAAAATAATTTACGGTTTGTCAAATTGTCTATTAATTTTATTTGAAATTATTTTAATTTATATATCAATTATCAGTAATTTAGATTTTTCATCGAATTGAGAAAAGAAAGATATAATTTGAATCTCGACCCGAAATATATCTACTTATATTTTTCGATAATGTTGTACAAAAAAATTGTATAGTATATATATCATATTGATTTTGTGAATTCTCTTTCGTGTGAAATGATCAGAAAGATCAAAGAGATGTATAATTGTTTTGGAATAAGTATTTCAACTGAAAATTTTAAGTTCAATTTAATGATGAACAATATAAAATTGAAATTTTTCATCTATAATTTAATTTGTGGTGTAAAATGTTGAACACAAATCGGATCGAATTTTCAAGATCTCTAATCAATAAATCTGAACTGATGAGAATGAATCATTAAAAATAAATTTTTCACACACTCTTTCTAAGAAAAATAATGTAATTACAAAAGTTCATTAAAATCGTGTAGAATTTTGTGTTCAATATCAGCTATTTGAAACGTCATGAGTTAATAGATATCATTCTATCTCACATCTTTGAAATTGGTAATGATGTGTATAACTTAGAAGTGATTTGCACACGTTTTAACTTATTTGCGGCAAAAAGAAAAGAAGGCATTTATCATTAAATATTAATAAATATATGAATGGTCTGGTCTGGGTTCATAAAAACATGACATTTTTGTCAAAGAAAAATTTTCTTCAAAAAAAATCAACAAAAAAAACAGCTGTCAAAACGAAAAGATCATACTGAAGGTAATTTAATTTTTGTTCATCTATCGTTTCATCCTTTGGTTAATATCCAAATATAAATGGAAAAAAGAAATGATTTACAACTCTAATATGATTAATATATTGATGATCACCATTTTCGTATATAATTAGACTAATTTGTTTTCTTGCTATACATTTATTATCTAAAAACAGATATATACCATCATGTCAGAATTGAAATATTTGATCAAATAAAAGAATAGATAGTTGTTCTGTTCTATGTCATCTTTTGAATTATCATAGTCAAAAACTGAATTTTGAATGAACATTTTTTAAATAGTAATTAATAAATAAATAGACGATATAATCTAAAGATTGTACAATGAATATATCGATTAGATTTAAATATTTTTTCTTACAAAAATAAGAAACAAAATAGTTCAAGCCTATCAGCTATGGTACGGTACATATTATTGTTTAATATTCTTACTATATAGATATACAAAGTAATTTCTTTTTTTTTAGTTGCTTTTATATCTTAAGTTTTATTAAAGAAAACACTTGACTTGTTATCAAGTAAATATTAATAATGACATTAGGGAATTAAACGATTATGAAATATATAGATCAAACGAAGTGAAATGAAGTGAAAAACATGTGCAATACACATTTGTTTGTTTGTACTGGTGCGTGTCAATCATTATATATGAACAGTGCTGCTATTAATCGAATATGTAATAATTATATAAATATAGAAAGACATAGAGAACAACAGAGTTCAATTACGTTATAAAGATTCTCACCAAGTAGTCTATAGAGTATCGACGTGTCATAGAAAAAAAGGTTAAGTATCCAATGAATTAAACAATTCAATATGGATCTATCTCCTAATAGATAAAGTAATATACAAAAGTAATAGCTAAAAAAACTTCTTTAAAAATGATAACGTTGTTGTTGGCATTGCAGGTTCCGTGACTTATATTCATCATATTCAATAAGAGTATGCCATGCCAGTCATGATATATCAAACACTGCCTAGACTACGATTAGCATAAATGACATGTCTGTTAGAAAAATTTCAATTCAATCAAATATAGTTGAAGCAGAACAATATCAGCCGTGTATAATAAAACAGCCTCCATTTATCATGACAAAGTATCCACCCCTTCATTTATATATTCTGACTTTATACAAGCAATCAAGCAGAAAAAGCAACATGTGCGTTTAATTTATACATATACGTATAAGAATTTTTGAATATTCTGATGTTATTTTTCTTACTGAACGGTTGTATGTTGAAATTTAGTAAAAAAATTAGTCAAACTTAAAAAAAATGTCTTTCGCTACTCAAAATATAATTTTTTAAGTATATATACTTTGTCAGCTTGCGTAAAACAAACCACCCATTCTCATTCTTTGTACTGCTGATTGCATGTGGTATGAACTCGAAAAGAGAAAAAACAGAAATAAAATTGTACAAACGTTGATTTTGTAAATGAAACATAGAAACTTCGACTCCCTTCAATAAAATGAGTAATCTCATTGTTCGTTTACGATCAATATCCGGCTCCTAGTATTTTCATAATTTGAGAAAATAAAATTCTTTTTATCTTTCAATAAACAGATATGTTCAAGTATAACATCAATGTCATCTTCGAAGGTTCGTCATATTAACCACTGGATGGACATCAGTGGATATCATAGAATTACTATGGCAAGGTGACGATGCGTCTGATCAAAAAATGGATTATCGTTCAGTGTAAGCTGACGCCATTAGCTAGTAATTGCTAATAAGAAAACATTTTTTCAGCCGGTCTAGACAGAAGTTATTCAAGTTTGCTTTATGTAATTAGGTGTGGAATGTAAAGGGTTAATATTCAATTAGTACACTCCAAGTTGCACAGTGGGCATCCAGGCGAACTTTTGATCAAAAATCGAAAGTGCGCGTTTTCTAGATTCGAAGAGGGTTGAGTACACTTTGATAGATGGTCTATTGAATAGCGAAAAATTTTTTACTCTAGGTACTCAGGAACGTGGAAAAACACTTAACAAAAACTAGGCCTAAAAACAGTGGGATTTTCAGTAAAAAATGTTTACAATAAAATTTAACAAATGTGAATCCGAGAGTCAATCAGAATACGAAACTAGAATTGTCCATCTATCAACTACTAAAAAAGTTTTTATTTTGGACTTAAATCTCCGAGACAAAAAATTTAGTTTCTGCACTAACAACGTTTCCATAGTTATGTAGTTTTTCAAGAAAAATCTGTTTTTCTCAGGCCATGAGCACTTTTAAGAAAACGTAAGGTTATATTCGGAATCAGCGCGTTGAGTTACATCGAATCATGTATAACACAATAAGTTTTGTATCAAAAAATATCCATGGAAATCTTTTGTCATGAACCAGCAAGACCAAATTTTTTGAAAAAAATATGACTTTTTCTAAAAACGTCTATTTTTTCTTGAAGAGCATTAGAGATGGCGAAGTAATGATAATAATAATTCATGAAAAAACGCTTAAGTCGCAACAAATTCCGGATGTCCGCCTGCTATTAGAAAAATATCCACTGTGAGTTGGTCATTGATCATGGTGTGACTAGAATATATTTATCACTAGCAGACCGATCCTCAATTAAAACACAATTCATAGTCACTTTTAAGTGACTACAGATTGTAGTTCACACTACTATCTATTTCATAATTGGGTGGCCATCATTTTAACATATACTCCATTTGGACTGCCGTTTATTGTGGATTTTAACAAAAGTTTTAAAAATTAATATAAATTACTTTCGTTTTTGAAAGATTTTTCATAGCTGTTTGGAAAGTGAGAAAATTGTTTTTTTCTAATATGAACTGCAGATTTCTGGAAAATCTTTCACAAGCGAAAGTAATTTATATCAATTTTTAAAACTTGTTGAAATTCAGAACAAACGGCAGTTAAAATGGATTACATGTTGAAGTTTTAGAGTAGTCTAGATCGATTTTGACTCAGTTATAAATTTTATAGTTTTTCGGTGAAAATAGTCAGACGTAGGTTATTTTACCTACTATAGGTTTTCAAAAGGTTCTTGAACTTTTTTCTGAAAAAGAACAGTACCACAAGCCTCAGTGTGTCCAAGAACCTGTATCTGAAGATTATCAGAGCTAACAAGTCTGAGGTAGATAGAATCTTGAAGATCTAGACACTTTGAAGTATATATCGTGGAATTTTTTCGGCTTACAGTGATTATCTCGCCAAAAACAATCAATTATTCGAAAATTTCAAGTTGATTTAAATACTGGGACTCTTATTTAAAAAAAGATTCATGCAGGCTCATTTTGTATGATAAAAATATTCTAATAACTGCAATTAATAAATTTCAACTTTTCTCAAATTCAACTTTAAAAATCCAAAAAGTAAAATTCTGAAAAAAGCTCTCCTGAGGATCTGCGCAATTCGATATTGAGCAACTTTTGTACTCATACTTTTTGTTTCAAAATGCTTTATTTGATCGAAATTAGCCGTAAGGCTCCGTCGAAAACTTTTTGCCCTAACAACATATGTGAAAAGGAAAATTTAAATGTTTTGATCAAATTTCATTCGTAAATGATAAAAATTTTTTAACATATATACTTTGAAGTGTCCTCTACAAAGTGGTGAAAAAATCTGGATAGATACATTCCTTCTTAAGAAAGAAAACAATTTCAATAAGAGAGTATATCAACAAATTGATTTTTTAAGAAATTATCTATTTTTTTTACATCTTGATTTTTATTCCATTTAGTTCTTCAAAAGTGTATTCTACATGATTGTCTTGTTTTTAATTGACAGCAATTTGACCACGTAATTATAGATACATATACACTTATAAAATAAAATATGTCTTGATTCTCGTTACTTATTGCCAATGTACATAAATATGATATAAGAAAAAAAAAACAGATCCCTCAACAACAATATGGACAAGGGAAATAAAAAATGTCTGATAAAAATAAAAAACAAACAAAAAAAGTCGATAAATACAATAGAGTAACATACGGTCATACCAAATGTGACTAGATTAAAACGCATTACAATTGAATATCGATCAGATCGAGTTAAAAACTAAAAATTACTGTCACTTAAAAGCACACAAAATAATAGATGCTGTTGCTTCTCAAAATGAAGTAACTAATGCATTCATTCATTCTTTTCATCTTTTTTACTACGTACAGAAAATGAGACATGATTACCAAAAAGATCAATACTATTATTTGCTTATTTTACAGTAAAAAAAAAAACAAAGAGAAAAATACATCGGGGTCAACAACAATAAAAAAAAAAATACTATTTACAAAAATAGTAATATACATACAGTATTCTCTTTTTTCAAATGGCACTAGCATTCGGTTCATCCTCAGTCGGAGTTTGTATTCGTTCAACAATTGCACGAGTTATCTGATGTGTTGAGGTAGGATTCACGAAAGAAATACTGTTTATTATCTGCGACTCTTGTTGTTGATCATCGGTTACAATCGACGTTCGTTTAAAACTAAATAGACAAAAGAAAAATTAAGTTATTATTATCATCTAATGAACGAACCTTTCCAATTAATCTGATGCATTTCTATTTAAAGTTAGTTTTTCCTAGGATAATCCTTGATGTAGATCACGAGTCTGATGTCCGTCTGTCCTTATTGAGTTTCTGACTGACTTTTTAGAAGTCTGATTTCTAGACACTCATGATGAAGCTGAAAATCAAGAGAATCTAATCTGACTAGTTTATAGAGTTAATCGAGTTGCCTTTGTGGAAAACGTTTTAGAACTACTAAACAAGTTTTAATTGAGTTAGAAAAATATTAATTTCAAGTACAGCACAAATATGATTTTCTCAGATGTTTTGATGGTGAATGTTTTATGCCTAAAATGTGTTCAGTAGTTCTAAAACATTTTCCACAAAGGCAACTCGATCAACTCTACAAACTAGCCAGATTAGATTCTCTTGATTTTCAGATTTGTCATGAGTCTCTAGAAATTAGACTTCTAAAGAGCCAGCCAATCAGAAACTCAATAAGGACACAAACCAGCTTCAAATAAAAATACATTGGATTAACTGGAAAGGTTTTCTCGTAAATAATAAAGATGCTCTTGTTGCATACAATATAGAATTTGAAGTACACATATCTAGGTAGACTATTTACTATCAATAAGCCGAACAAGTTCTTAAATGAGATATAATTCATTTTTCCTTACGTTTCACCCGGTTCACATGGACGAATATCATCATTGTTACTATTTGTCATTGAATAATTATTTAATTTTAGTTGAACTTGCTGTTTTTTTCTTAATGGTTGTACTGATATTTTATTATCATTATCGTTACTCTGTTGTTGTTGTTGTGGTGGTGGTGGTTGTTGTTGAATAATAGTAGAATTATCTTTTTTCTTATTACTACTGTTACGTTTGAACATTATCTGTTGTTGTAACAACGATGTTTCCATACATTTAAAATCATAATCTTCATATTCTTTAATAACATCGGGTGTATTCAAATTATCTTTTAATTCTTTTGCTTTACGATCGAAAGCCAATACTTTTTTGTCATTTAAATTTTTATCATTTACTTCCATATTTAATATCATGGAATTTAATGTTTCAGAATCATCGTCAGCTAAATAAAAATAAAAATATATACATTATTGACTTAATGAGTAAATAAAAGTAATTAACAGACCAAATAGATCTAAACTTGAAAATGTCGTTGTTGGATGAGTTACTTGATGATGTTGTTCATCAACTGACGATCCATCATCAATCCATGCTGAAAAACAGACTAGAAAAACGTATAAAATGTCTTTAATGTATAAAAAAGTATTATATACCAGTTGCACCGACGAGTAATGATGGCACCGTTGTTGATATTATTTCACTGTTAGATGCCACTGCTGTCTCCGTTTCACTTTGTTTAGTTTGTAATTGCTGTTGTTGTTGATTTGTTTTCAATGATAATTCAATTGCTCGCTGTAAATCATCATAATAATCTGATTTATCTACTACATTTTGATTTGAACAACTTCTAGGTCGATAGAGATTTTGTTCCATTTCCCGCGCTGCTTGTAAACGAGACATTTCAAGCGCTCGTAATAAATCCATAATATAATGAGATGTTTGATAAGGTGGTAATTCACTTGATGATACAGTCGATGATGGAGATGATGGTAGAGAATTCTGTTGGGTATTTTCTGTGGTAGTTGACTGAACAGTTGTGGGTAATAGAGCCTGTTCCATCTCTTTTTCTTCTATAAAAGAAATTTAAAAAAGATTATGAACGTACAATTTCAGTAAACTAAATACCTTTCTCTAATTGTTCAATACGATCAAGACGTAAACATTTTAATGAACAATAATCATAGATAATAGATGTAGTCGGATTTCGTGCTCGATGTCGAAAACAATTATGACGTTTGCAATAGGGACCTGAAAAAGCGAAAAAGTGATTGTTTAATAAACTAATCTATTAGCGTTACTGTTTATTCTATAAAAAAATTTTTAATTACCATCGTCGCAGGATATTAGACATGAATCAACTTCATCTTCTAACTCTGGCCATTCATCCAATAATGTCACTAAATTTGTATGTCGACCTTTTCTATCGACTACCCATGGATTTTTTGGATTTAATTCTTTTAATGAATTGGCAATAGCTTTTTTCAATTCACTATCATCACCATCGACATCATCTTTCAACAAATACTAAAATCAAATAATAATTATAACTCTTCAACTTGATCTATCTCCTATAAATTGATTACCTTCCATCTTTGTCTACTAAACTTTCTGAGACTGGGTGGTGTATCCGGTGGTATTAGACCTCTGGCAATTGTTTCTAAAAATTCCAAACGTTTTCGTTTAACATTTTTTGCTATTTGTATAATTCGAGCTTTAGGTGTTCTCAAGTAGGGACGTGCAATAATTTGTGACAATGTTTCGGTACATTCTTCAAATTCAGTTTGTATAAATTCAAATATCATTTTTTTATGTCCACTATTTTCTAAATAATATCCGTAAACATAAGAACAACGTAATACTCGTCGAGCACGTAATAATTCTTTGATAGCATCTTCAATAAATTTTGTTTGTGATTCTTGATCATTTTCTGTTGTTGTAATTGTAACAGATGGTGATGAATGAGAAGGTGTTAATGATAAAATAATTTCACACTTTTCTTTCGCTATTTTTGATAATGGTTCTTCAATTCGATATGAATTTTCATGATTTTTAAATCTTGTATAATAATGAACAAATTTATTTAATTCAACCATTCGAATATGATGTTGTTCAGCTTCTGTAATTAGTTCACGTTCTTTAGCAACAATTTTATTCACATGTTCATAACGATTACATTGAAAATATCCACCAGTTGTTGACGAATGTTTTTTCCATACTTCCAAACAAATCCAACAAAAATCATGTTTACATTTTACGCATTTAATATGATTACATCCTAAACAGGAATAGAATAGAATCATACCAAATCTCTTCTTATGTGTTATCCTTCTTACCTTCATTCTTTTGTATTGATATTGAACAATTTGGACATTTTTTTGAATTCGTAACTAACCATAAACAATTTGCAGCAATTTCTTCCTCTTCATCAGTTCCTTTTACTAAAATGAAAAATTCTTTAATATTTCTCAAGTTTACTTGATTATAGATACACGTACATTCTTCTGGTTTTATTTCAAGTAATTTATCAAACCAATCTTTCCAATTTTGACAGCTAGCCTATTGTACAAAAAATGAAAAGAAAATATTATTAAGGAATAAAATACACATTTGTTAATTTAATCTTACTGGTTCATGCCCTTCTTGTAGACAATCCCAACAAAAATAATGTCCATTGATACAATTAACCGATTTTGAAAATTCTTTCATATGAGATGATTGTTGGATACGATCGAGTGGACTTTGTACAGCTAGTCCACAATTAGGATATGGACACCATTTAAAATTTGGATTTGAATCAACAAATGCTTTGATATCAAATTGTAAATAACGACGAGCCATTTCCTTTGTAACACATTTTTCAATTATTTCATTTGGTACAAATGAAAAACAATCATAAGCTGGACAAAAAATATTGTGAACACTTCCTTCTTGAATTTTAACAGTTAAATAGCTAGAAACAAGAAATTATTTCTATAACAGTTATAACTGATGTATGTGATCAAACAGTTTCTTCTACTTTCTTACTTTTGCCAACATTGTTTACAAAACTGATGATCACATGAAATAACAATACGTTCACATCCAAGTTCAAATACACTATAGCATATACCACACTAGAACAATATATATATATATATATATATGGAATATTAAATTGATTAATGATTTTAATTTCACTTACCTCATTCGCTAAGGAAATTGTTTCTAAATCGACAATATTCATTGATGTTAATCCACGTTCATGTAATAGACTAAGCGGTGGTGATACACCACATTTCTCACCTTTAACAAACAATAGTTTGACATTTTAATGTTAGTTTAAAAAAACGAAGCTATGATAATACTTACAACATTGAATAGGATCATCAATCCATGATTGAAGTAATAATTCTTTTGACCATTCTAAAGAGATAAGATACATATTTAAATATGAATGAATATTTTTCATATTCTAACTTACCATAATTTCTTAAAAGTGCTTCAGCTGTAAACAATGGCAGTTGCAACATGTCGGCTGTTTCGACGAGTAAAAGATCTTTTGCTTCTTGTAAATCTTGTATCCGTAAACCACAGGATGTCTATGAACATAATTTCTAATAACACAATAATCACACATCATAGTTCAACACTTACATCACTAATCATCAATGGAGATTCTTCAATATCTAAATCTTCTGTACTATTCTATAAACAAAAGAAAAGGTGAAATCGTTGAAGAAACTAAAAATATAAAAATTTGTAACATACGTACACTAAATATCATTCTTGATTCTAAATACAGTGCCAAATCTTTATGACCATTTTTCTCTGCTAAATCACATGCAGACATTTTATCTTTATTTTCCACATACAAGGCCGCGCCATGATTTAAAAGACTCTAAAAAAAATCATACAACATTAACCATACAAAATTTTATTACATTTTTATCCTCAAACTGATGATAAATGAATAGATTCCTTACCTCAACACATGATTTCAAACCGTAGAGAGCTGCATAATGAAGTGCCGTGTTTTCTTCCTACAAAAAACAGAACGAAATGGTAAGATCCAAAAGATAACGACTAACATTGTATCCTTTATAAAAGCAACGACAACATATCTACATGGGCTCACCGAATCTCGGGCATCAATATCAATTGTTTCATTCGTATTTTTATCTTTCCATTTTAAAAGTAATGTTAAACATTCATTTCGTCTAAAACAGAACATATGATCAACAGTAAACGATATGAAAGAATATCAGATATATAAGATTCTTGGATGGGAATATTGATACTTACCGTACTTCGTTTCCAGTTTGAAATACACAATGTAAAGATGTTTGATTTGTCCGATTTCTTTTATTTGCATTGCCATTATGATCATACAATAAAAGTCTAAACAGGAAAAACAGGAGATAAGTATATGTTCGTCTGTCACACGTATGTAAACTTAATATCGATACATTTTAATTAAAAACATTTTCAAACTGTTCCTAAATTGAGTCTGAAATATTTACAATATTCAATATACTCTTTTCAATGTTTGCTGTACAGAACATTGTGATACTTTTCTACACGGATCAAATATTAATTATCTCTGAGTTTACATGTACGTCAGAAATAACATAGAAAATCAAATCATTGTATTTTATGATTGTTATGTGATGGGTATGTTCTTTCAATACCTATGAAAAAAAGGATTTTCATTTTGCTTCTTCTTATTACGTCAGAAATTAACAAATAGAATCATATTACAAGTACAAGCTTAGTTTCTTTTTAAAAAACAAGGACGAAATGAATATTCCCGAACATATGGATATAAAAATAATAATGATAATATATATTTTTCTCCTTACATAGTTCTTCAATTCGCTCGCTGAAAAGCGTAGTAAAGTAATCATGTTTTCGACAATAGAAGCAATATTATTTTTATTCGTATTATTATTGACTATTACACTGATGCCGACACTCATCGTTGGTCAAAGTGTATTTGATCCATCAACAATGACCGACGCTGGATGTTTCGGTACGAATCAATGGACCATGTGGTTTAATTCAGATGCTCCAACCTTGACCAAAGGAGACTTCGAAGTTACAAAAAACTTACAACAACAATTTTCAGCATTTATGTGTCCATCACCAATTGCCATCCAAGTATGTAGAAATTGAATTTTATTTGCAAAAGCATAAGAATTTTGAGAAAATTTTTTTTATGTACAACATTAATACTTATTACTTACAGTATTATTTTAGATTTTTCATTTTCTTTTATTTAGACGCGTACAGTATCGGATGGTGACCCATCAGCCACGGGTGATGTCTTCAAAATGACCGTAGGGGATGGTTTACTGTGTTTGAATCAGTATGTAATTGGCTTTAAAAACAAACAATGCGCTGATTATAAAGTACGATATTGTTGTTCGACAAGTACACTTGGTCAAATCACTCGTAATCGTAGGAAACGGTTGCACAAAGACTAGCATTCCAGTGGTATACACGAGTGATTTATGATTTATCATGGATTAACAACAAAATGAGTACAATCTAAAGTTCTATTAATTGTACTTAGTATTTTTACAAAACTATTTTTATTTTGTCACTAATATACTTTTAATATGATGATTTGAAAAATAATTTATTTAATCCAGATAAAAATATAATTTTCGAATATGAACAAAAGATAGATATATCCACGGATGGGATTAACTATAAGTGAATAAGTTCTAAGGGCAACAAGCAAAACCAGTCTCTGGACTGGAAACCAGTCGCGCACGGAAAAACTTCCTTTTTTAAACAATAATTAACCATATTCACAGTCATATTGCTCAAAGACTAAAAGGGATCCTTTTCTATAAAATAGACCAGCATAGTGTACAACTCGTGCATTTTAAACTAGTGTAAAAGATGGAAATGGGTCTATTCTAATTAGTGTAATGTTAGTTCGCGAAGTTGGTGCAATACGAAATAAGTTTGCAGTGAGCACTCGCCTACTTGAATATAAAAAAGATGAACATTTGATGAAAATATAAAATTTGTTACTTTCTGATTTTATTCTTTAAACAGAAAAATGTCTGCTCTTATAAAGATGTCTGTTAAAAAAACGAACACATTGAAAGTATATATATGCCGATGTATGTATCAATAATACAATCAAAGAAATCGAACTATACCAAATAAAATAAAATAAATTAGAATTTAAATTCTATAATAGAGGAATAACTGAGAATAGAGGAAGAGCGGAATAGAGGAATGACAGAGGAATAAGAGAGGAATAGAGACCGACCGATCGGAATACATTTAGAAACGTTCCCTAACTGTAAGATAATACATTTGAAATTTTACAAAAAAAAATGTTTTCTTCTTTGTAAGCTGAGCTGACGTATAAAAGGTATTAGTCGTGGAATACGTTTCTGATACACATACTTCATATAGTGTACTAAGTGAAACCATTGTGGAACTCTGACTAAACTGACACTCTAAGCAGAATAAATATTTTTTTGTACAAACTTTACTAAAAATAGTGATTAAAGAACAAATGTGAGGCATATTAACCCTATATTTATAGATTTACTTAAATAAAGTAGCTGAAAGACTGACTATCTTGACATTGTAACAAAAAATAGAAAAACCAGTGACTACTTAAATGAAAATGAGATAAAATATTGCTCTGACTATTAATTATGAAAATAAGAGAAAAGGAACATGTCATTTCGAACGTTCAAAATAAAATTTTCAAGAAGAACATGGTTTGCTATTATAATTTGCTATATATATAATTTTTACATATATTCACTTTCCATTGAAATGTTGAACGATACTTTTCGATTTCGAGAAAAACTCTTTTTGTTAACTCAACCATTTTACTTGACTGAAAGCAATTCTACTTTATTTCTTTTTGAAGTACAAAAGGTTAAAAACATAGCCGCTTGACAGCACTATTCGTCATGCTGTTACATTTAAGTAATATTAGCATAAAATAGTCATTTATCCTGATGACATTATACTTTGTCATGACACAATCACACTTCAGTAACTAAAACGAATCTCTGGTAAATATCAAAACAATTAGATAAACGCAGAGGATTAAGAATAAGAAATGACGATGATGATGATAAATTAAGGTTTACGATATTGAAACGCAGAAGTACTTTTAACATTCGTTACTACCTACAGGACAAAAAAAATGCACTATCTAATTATTATAAGTTTGCTATTAACAGTTCTTACGTTTAAAACTGATTCAAAGATAACTGGCACTTGTACACAACCAGCTTATGAATGGAAAATATGGTTAAATTCAAATAAGCCATATTCAGGAGGTACAAACTTCGAAAGAAATAAGTATTTTTAATTTAAACCAGAGATATAAGAGATGCACGGGAGACTGGAAATTCGAGAGGGAGTTCTGGTAGCGTCCCGCAAAGGGAACGTTTTTTTGTTTGGAGACGGGTCTGTCGCGATCGAAAAACTAACGAGATAAGGTTCCTGCAGAGAGAAACGTTTTTTGATTGTACGCGCGATCATTATTCAATGACGATCTAATCTAAACCCACAAGCGACAAAGCGAAAACAGAATTTCAGCGAGAAGAGAGCGGGAAAATGGTTTCTAAAACGTCGGAGCGAGACGGGAAGGATTTTGAAAAATCCTGAAATGCATCTCTGTTTAGTAATATCTATCACTCTGAAAGAATCTGTATAATGATGGTGTACCTAAATATCTGTTTACTTCTTTCCATCAAATGAAGGCACGAAACGTATCTTTCAGACAGATGTCTGGCACAAAGTTCATGGCGAGTCATTTTTACCTGAGAATACTTATCTTTAGCACTTTCTGCATTATCTTTATGCTTCTTTCTCACAAAAAGTGGCTACGAATGTTCAATGTTTGTAAATGAAGTTTTAGCTTTTATCGTTCTGAAAATTTATTCTTGACCTTCAAAACGATATATTCGTCGAACGAGAGATAAGTTACAAAGATTTTAAGAACGTTCTATCGATCAAAATTTTATCTTTTGTAACAATAAAAAATACAGTCGTGAACCCTATTTGGAATTTTCTTCTCAACGGTCATGAGTACTCGCTCGTCGATGAAATAGATCACTATTTACAAAAACTAAATTATATTTTTTTAGGTGAATTTGAACTTGTTCCACATTATTATGAGATATTTCGTGGTCAACCGTTTGTATGTCAAAATCCAACAGGATTAGAAGTGAAAACATCCGATGATCGAGAACCGGAACAAACAAATGATACATTTCGATTTACGTTAACAGAAGGTTTCTTATGTTTAAATCAAATTATACCAGACAAAAGAAATGTGTTATGTCAAGATTATAAAATTAAATTTTGTTGTCCAACATAAGACAATGATCACATTGATTAATTTAACTAATTAATCGAGAATAAATTTGTAAAAAAACCAACAATAATGAAAAATGTAAAATAAAATTAAAGTTGAAATTATATTGACAAAAGAAATATTTGACTGACAGAGTTTTAACGCTTGAATACAATATAGATGATATTTATCTATTCAGTTAACAGTAGTATACGCATTGTCTATATTTGTCAATGATGTCTCTCAAAAATACTCTTGGAAATTAAATACATTTAGGGATGAAACTACAGTAAACGAAAAAGTCATCCTATAGATTATTACACACCAGTAGCTAAAAAAGAATTTCTAAAGAATTTTTCCACATTTTATCATAGAAAATAACTTTTACTCGTTCAATTATTTATTTGCTGCTATTTTTAATTAAAATTAGAAATTAACTCAAAATTTAATTTGTTAAAGTGACCAAATCAATGAAATCCACCCAATATTAGAACATGGGAATCAGTCATGATTGATAATTTAAAAAAAATTAATTTCAACACAATTTGTCCAAAAATAAACTTGTATTTATACGATTATCAGAATAATATTCTATTTTTGATAGATTCTTCTATTAAAAATCATCTCATCGATGTTATGCGTTTATAGGAAAAAAAATATATTGTTGATTAAAAACGTTCTCATAACATTCAGTCAGTTTTATTTTATATAAAATATGATTTATCGATGAGTTAACAAGACAGTAGTACGTGATTGCTTATTAAAAAGAAAACATAGAGAGAAAAAAAAAAAAACTTTTAGACTACAACACATACAAACATGATCGTCCATCAATACGGTTTATCTATGTTAAAAAAAAAATAAGTAGTTGTTAATATTTCTAGATAAAAATCTTGATGTATGTATATGTATCATTAATGATTAGAACTCAAAATTCTTTATTCTCATTTCTCTTCTTCTTCTTCTTCTTCTTCTCGTTTTCGTACTGAAAATAAAACACATTATACAACAAACAGTTTTAAGAGTGTGTTCTCTAATCTGCAACTGTTGTTGTTTTTTAATAATAAAACATTTTGTTTAAACGCATATCTTGTAAAGATGCTGACAATGATAGATAAGAACATACATAGATGATTATAGTGTCACATTTAATATCCGTCATAAAGAATACTAATACATACAATAGAGAAAAATCAATATACATTAAATGAGTTTAATATTACCGAGTTCAACGATTAAAATAATCTCACCATTAGTACAAAACTCTAGTCAAATAACAATTTCGGTAAGAAAAAAATAATAATTCAAAAAAAAAAAAAATAATAATATTTTCATTCTAAAAACTTTATACATTATTTATATAAGATAATGAACTAACTATTTGTATGTTAAATTATCGTTCAAGACTACTAGTTAAACATTTCCATTGGAAAATTTTTTTTTTTTATTTAAATTGAGATCACTAATTAACAATTATTTTTTGCTTATTTTAAAAATAAAATGTATAATATAATGAGTCATTTTAGAACTTACTCAATTTTACATCAATAACAGTACAAGACGCGACATCGTTTATTGATAATCGTAGTTCATTTACAATTCATTATGCATTATGGCCACTTTTATCATTAGTATTTTTAATTATTGGTGTATGGTTTATTGTTTATTTAATGACAATATTTTGTCGATCACAAAATGATCAACAAAAAAATTTTGCCTCATATTATACAACACAGGAGAGTATGGTTAGAGAAATAACGATAAAACGAACGAATAATCAAGACACTGAAACATCATCAATTGCACAACATTGTGTTTAGTTCATATCAATCACCAATTTATAAAGATGATAAATATCAACCTTGATATTACAACAATAACAACAAAAATTTAGAAAATTCCAATATGTTGAAGAAATCGTCAATCAATTTCATCTTCTCTCTATTATGTATTCTACTTCTACTATAGCGGTTGGTCACAAAAGCAAAATATATCGTTTGATAAACATCGTCCTTACTGTTATGAGAGACTGACGCTTTTGTTAATTTTTTTTTTGTTTTTTTTATTTTTTTATTGGTACAGAAGAATAGATATAATTTTTATTGTGTTAGCATTCTCCTTTGAGAATGTCGACCAGAAAAATTTAACAGTAAAATGAAGAATAAAAGTTCTATTTACTTATACTTGCAAAACAAATTTTCAATATCTCTTCACTCTCTTTCGAACGCGACGGATACAATTATATTATGATCTAATCTGGTGATAAATATTCTATAATTTTTATCAATAAGATGAGATATCTACGATAAGCTAATTTGAAATATTTGTTGTTTTTTCGTCTCACATCGTCACCTACTAAGTAGATAACGCCTGTCAACGATTGTCTGAGATCAGTTTACATTTTTTGAGCTGTTAGACATTTTAGAGTATTGTCTCCGTTTGTATGTATGCGTATATATGACGACAATTGAGTTTTACGCCGGTATTCATGTCATCAAAAGCAAAACGAGAAAAAAAAACTAATTAAAAAGTTTATACTTCTGCATCGGCTATTATGTGATACATCATTTCCACTTCTTTTCTTTTTCATTATCCACACAAATGAGTGTAGACAATGCTTGGCATGTCATCTTGGTATAAGAAATAACAATAACGTCCAAAAATTTTGAAGTAATCGAGAGATCAAATTTGACTCTGATCAATGATGATGAATAATCATCCGCAGACACGTGTAAAGAATATATACTAGGAGTCTTTCAAAATATCGTCAAAAATTACTGTTTCTGTCAGAGACCGAAACGGGTCAACCAAACGTGATCCGACACAAGTTAATATCTTATACGTTAGTCCGAACCTGACGGATGCATCCGAAAATTTTGCAACTGTGATCCAAACTAGACCCGAAGCATGAAAATGTTTTTGTACATATTTGCAAAGAAACACTTCTTTCCTATAGAAAAGTTATCTTAGTCAGATTGTTTTGAAATTTTTTCGAAAAAATGGTCAAATTCCTTACGGTTTCTATCATTTTTTTCCTTTTATGAGTAGAAAAGTTTAGATAATTCAGACAGTTTATTTTATATGGACCTGATTTAAATCGAAACGGGTCAACCAAACGTGACCCGAACGTGAGTTGACCTGACCCGAATCAATATCTTTTACGTTTTTACGAACCGACACGTTTCGGTCTCAGGTTTCTATCGAAACGAAACGATATGGCGTTACGTTTTTACGAACAGCAGTGGCACATTTGAAGGGTGTGACCACATTTCCGTACAGGTAAAAATCACACACACACATACAAATGTTCAATCTAAAACAGTTAACAAATCCCGACAGCAAAAACATACGAAACAAATTTCCTGTCCTTTCCACACAAAACAATAATAATAGGAAGTTTTTACAAAAAAATTAAAATTATGAATTTGTCAACTATATGTGTTCACTTGATGTCACGTTTTTGAAAATGACTGGACAGAGGGCAATTTACTTGTTTTTAAAAGAAAGACGCTTAATTACTTTATTATAGTTTTTTGAGTCTCGGATTTTATTTTTCCAAAGTAGATTTCGATTACTTGAAAATGAAATAGACAATAATTAGTTTGAGAAAATCAAATAATGTCACACGATTCATCTAACACAATTTCGTATATCAATCTCGCGTACTGAAAAGTTTAAAAGTATCTTCTAAAAGTCGAAAAAGTTATAAATCGATTTATAATTAATGATTAATAAACATTTGACTTATAAATGCATTTATGAACTATTTTCCAATTATCCAATGGTCAAAAATAAAATGAGTCCAGAATCATATATAAATCATCGTATTTTAACTATTTAGTGATCGAGTGACAAAATGGAAATATAATTTAGTCATGAAAAATAAATACAATGTGCATATCACAGATCAGAAATAACGCCTTGACATTCAAGTTAACCACATCTTCTTCTTAGCATAGTTACAAGTAACAGATGAACAAGATCAACTACTAATCAACGTTATTAATAGAAGTTTTACTGCCATTTTTTTTCAACGAGAAAACAACAGTACAGCGGAAATTTTTTAGTTAGAATTTGCAATTTAATCAAAGTTCACTTCATAGTCAGATTTACATTGGAACTTTTAATTTACAGTAAATTACAAGTTTTTATCTTGGATTACAGTGGCAAGTCCGCTTGTTCACCGAGGTATTAGAAACGCTACTACTAACCTTAGAAATGTTTTCATCGCAAATTTAACAGCTAAATGCACAAACGTGTCACCATTTTCATTCATTGGTAAATTGGCATCGATATGACGACGAATATCAGCATGTGCATGATACAATTGTAATACTTGTAATTCATCGCCGCGTGCCAATTTTTTTCTCATGGCTGACGTACTTGAACCCATTATTGTCTGTTTATTCAAACGAATAATTACAAAAACCAAAATATCTTAAACTAGAATAAAATAAATGACAAAGATCGCTCTGTATTTTAGTTCTCATGATTTTTGTCACAATAAAAAATATTATAAATAAACAAACACATACTGTTCTCTTACCCTCCATTGAGAATGTCCGTTTACATGAAAGTCTAAAAAGTCCATCAATCGAGAGAAAGAATAACAGAGGTCGCCGATTTGTAGAATGCATGTATCCGTTAGAATCGAGCATGAGTGCTTATACGCACCCAAAATTGGGTAATTGTCGATAATTGTTTGCTGTAGTAACGGATATTAGTTCATATCGCACTATTTTTGGTTTTAATTTGAATACTTATTTCCTCTATATTTGAAGAATCGTTAGATAACTGAGACGCTATTCAACATTTTAGAGTCTTTCCGTACCTGCGTACTACAAAAACAACAATTATGTTCTTCGACTTGGATTAATTAGATAAAAATAAATTTTTGCACAAACTACCTGTTCTAACAAAGCATTTATTAATATACAATTAGATCAATTACAAAAAAAATTGCAACCTGTTCCTTCCGTCTTAGTGGGGCTCTTGCTATGCATGCTTACTCTGTGTTGCGTTTCTCTATTCTGAAAAGTCTTACCTCAACGATTTGTATGAATCACCAGTCTGTACTTTCACACAGTTTCGCCGACTTTTTACATGATCTCAGAGCCGATAAGATGTCACTATGCTAGTTTTGTAGCTGGTGCCGAGTCAAGCAGGAATCCATATTTTTCTTTTTAAAAAAGTGTGTAGAACCTGGATGGGACAGTGTCAAAAAGTTAATTTTGGCCTAAAATCCTGCCTTGGACGAGGCATTATTCTTTTTATAAAAGCCTTACAAAAAAATATAAACCGGTCTCGCAAATCGTCACAACTTCAAACACGATTTTCTCAAAAACATCATGTTTTTTTTCTGTTTATATCTTTATTGATTCTTTTCAATGACTATAAATAATAAAATTTTCTAAATATCATGTTAGATCTCGTTCAAAAGTTTTTTAATTTAAAAAAATACTTCAGTTAAAATAAAATGTTAGTTATCCAAGCTGTTCTTGTTATCCGATTAAACATTTCATTTAATTTCAATAGCAAACTTTCGCTGCTTTACATAAGTGTTGTGGACTATATGACGAATATGAATATTTGCAATTATTAAATTTCCTCATCTAAATGAACATAAATTCATTCCATGTAATTGAGCCAAACCGGAAAAAAATAGGAGAAAAACAAATAGACAAAATAAATAAATAAATTTTTCCGAGTGATTTTCCCATATTAAACTCGTCATTAAATCTACAACAATACACACAGTTCCGCCTACTTGTTGCATCATCCCGACGGTCATACACTTGATAATGGTAATGATACAAATCGTATTACACCACCTGACAGAGAATGGGCATTGCCAAAAGAAGTCACGTCTGAATGAAGCCAAAAGTGTCACGTCTGAATGAATCTCAGATACAATATCTCACTTGGGTCGGGATGATGCAACAAGTAGGCGGAACTGTGTGTATTGTTGTAGATTTAATGACGAGTTTATAAGCGTTTATTATGTCCATTAAAATCGAATAGCCATTGTAGTGCACTATAATCAGTTATTAATTCGAACGATGAACCATCTAAATATGAATATAAGTTTTTCAATGTCTGTACTATCGCTAAGCATTCTAATTCTGTAGCACTAGAATTTATTAACTGACAATGGTATATGTACATATGGTTCATTTGATAACGTAAACTACTCATCAATAAGATTTAACTTAGCACCATTTTTTAACAGACAATCATAACGAATTATTATTTTTATATTGGCATTAGGTATAATGGTAAATTCAATTGAAATTGATATATCTGTCGTTTTACTTGTAAATCTAACATCAATAATAGTTTTTCAAACTGACGTACTTGTACAATTAACTGTTTGTAAACGAATAGGTGGAGTTGATTCTGTTATGGCTTCCGGGCAAATTTCATTTAATATCTGTGAATCAACTATAGACAATGATGGTCTGGTATAAATACAAGCAACTAATAGATGATCATTGATAATGATTTTCGATGTTACTAACTACATTGTGGAAAAACCTTCATGCAAAAGTCTACTTCTTTATTCTAAGAGACGTTCTACCAGCTCAGCAACAAAAGCTGTCAAGTGAAATTTTTTGACCTTTATATTTTTTTCTATTTTTTGATTCTATGATCAAAACTGGGGTTATGAAAAAATTTTAAGGTCGTTTGAACTTGATTTCGCCGAGTTATAGAATTTATAAAATTAGGTGTATCGAAGATTTTCAAAAAAGCACCCTCCGTGATTTTTTACCTATAACTTCGTCAAATTTTATCCGTTCTATTCGAATGACGTCTCATTCCAAAATCCATCAAAAAATGAACAAAATCAGATGTTTCTAAACTTTTTCGACCGGGAACTGGATTTTTCAGAAACCTACCATTTGCAAAATGACTAATTTTACATACAACAAAATTTTTTCAATAAAGTTTATTTTTCTCCATCCAGTAGATTTCCCACAAAATGTAAGTCAGTGTGTTTTGTAGAGCGCACAATTCTCTATATAATGATCTATAAAACTCTCTTTCACAACCTCAGGAACATGTTGAAAAATTGCTTGCAATTATTACCATCAAAGTAATTATACTATCATTTTTTTTAAAAGTGCAATCTTTCATGAAAAAAACGCACTTTTTATATTAAATCAAGTACGCTGATGAAGGTACAAGGCATTCCACATAGATTATGAGTGTTAAACTCAAGCCGGTGTCTTATAGGCCCTCTGATTGCCGTTTTTCAAGTTACTAAATAGGATCAATCCGTCTAACAGGACGCACAATACTCCTCCTTATTTTTTTGAAGGCTACTTTATGTACATACGTAGGCGTCGCACAGTGGGCATTCAAGCGGACATTAGGCGAAAAAGCGAATTTCGTTTTATTTCAAATAAGAATAGTGGAAAATGTAGCTCTTTCGAAGGGCGATCGAATGGTGTATAAATGTCTATTTTGATATCGACTCCTTCGAGCAAAAAATAGGGCACAAAAACGGCGTAGTGGACATTGAAAAGACGTGGCACATACGTGCAAAACAGTACCTCCTTGCTCACTCGTCCAAGTTAAACGATTTAAACTCACATATTCAGAATCAGCGTCTCCTTAGCTCCCTTTTAATAATAAAATGTGTCTACTTCGAAGCTAAATTCAATAACTTACACTTCACACACTCTTCGTAACGTCAGCTCCACATGATACTACCTCAGTATAGTCGACTGGCCCCCGTTAGCCCCACTCGAAACTAACATTCAAATATATGAAAACGTTCCTCAGGACCTACTTTATTTGCCCTGCAAGCGACTTTTTGCGACTTTTTGTTTAAATCGAGTTATGGATTTTTCAAAACCCATAGGGATTTTGAGGTATTTCGTGGTTTTCCCTACCAAAACTGTTCGTTTTCCGAACAATAAGGTCATATTCGGAATCAGCGTGCAAAACTGCATCGAATGGTGTATAACTTATCTAGTTTCGGTCACTCGATTTTGAATTCTAGAAATTTCTTAGTTCTTGAGATTCACACAAACAATTTCGTGCTGAANCCTTAGAAAACTTTTTCAAAACCCAACTCTCATGCCATTAGAAAGAGGATCATGAAAAACCTATAAAAAAATGGTTCATGAAATTTTAGTTCACTCATAAAGCTAAAATCCGCCTGCTCTAGCAAAAAATGCCCACTGTGCGTCGCGTATTCCTTTCTGAAAAAGTTCTGGAGTAGGGTTTGAAGAACATGGTATACGAGTACATAGGGCATGGAACGTCGGCAATGATAAATTAATTAAATGGCGATTATTGGATACACCGAAAGCTATAGATCATCTACAATGTCAACCATGTTCCTCTAAGCCACAATTGTCGTCCATTATCCCAGTTTCTAAAGAACGTAAAGCTCTGTGCGACCGTTCCTCGATTACCACAATAACTACAGTCGAATCAGCGGCTCAGGCTAATAGAAGTAAGCTGTATGACTGTCCCGAAGAGGGATGTGTAGTTTCGTTTATCAGATGCGTAAATTTAACGCAACATTTACGTACAGGAAAACAGCAACGTCGAATAGAACGCAGTTCCATGAGGGCCATGGGTATGGTTGTCTATCACTAGAAACTGGAACATATTGGAGTAAGATCAATGATTTGTCTTCAATTAGAAGAGACTACACTTGATGATGGTAATGATACAAATCGTATTACACCACCTGACAGAGGATGGGCATTGCCAAAAGAACGAAAGTGTCACGTCTGAATGAATCTCAGATACAATATCTCACTGAGAAGTTCGATGAGGTTGTACAACAGAGAATTCGATGGAAACCAGAGGAAGTATCAGCTGAAATGCGACGAAAGAACGATTTGAAGGATAGATTGTATTTCACACCGGCCGAGTTTTAAAAACCTGACCTGATCAGATCGTTTTTTCACCTTTGAAGGCGATACGTGACAAGAGACGAAGTGGAGGAGGAATATGACGATGAATTTGACCATAATCAGGTAGTTGAAGAGACTAAGCAAAGAAATAATTTAAGAAATTCAATGGGACTTAGCAATGAACAATCATCACCTCCAGCTTCGTCTCGAAACCTGTCACCCGATAATAGAGCTGGATCAACGTCCAACTAAAAAACGTTTGTCATCGAGGAAACGTACTGGTGTCAAATAAAATATTGAAATATTTATCATATGTCTGTCTATAACCACTTGTACCTTCATCAGCGGACTTGATTTAATATAAAAAGTGCGTTTTTTTTCATCTAATAGTTGCTTGTATTTATACCAGACCATCATTGTCTATAGTCGATTCACAGATATTAAATGAAATTTGCCCAGAAGCCATAACAGAATCAACCCCACCTATTCGTTTAGTTACAGTTTTGTATTTCGTTTCGTTTTTCTTCGCTCTTTCGTTTAAACTTCTGCAGTACGTATGAGTCAAAAGAGCAAGAAAAACTGCAGAAACTAACTACTTTTCAAGTTCGAAACTATCCTAATTAA